AGCACCCTGGCTTCCTCTACTCTCAGCTCAACACCCTGGCTCCCTCACTCAGCTAAATTTAATCAGTACCATAGCCTTTGGGGGGCAGTAGGGAGCAAATTCCCCGCCCGTATTTCTAGAATTTTAAACCAAAAGAAAACGACATTTCCAAATAGTAATTTGGAATTTTTTTATAATCGGTTATACCGATTATTAATAATCATTTATACTCAGATTTATTGCACCATTCAGCAGTGGTATTAGGGTATTTATGCTTATAAGTTAAGAACATAAGTGTACACTCTTAAGTTATTAACTGACTGATAGCCTGATTTAGGTGTAGTTCACCTCCCTGGAGAATGTATTCAAGCTGAGGGCTGCCTGTCTAGGCTGTCCAGTTCCCTGATTAATGTGCATGTCGCAGTTATGTGCTCTTTGGTTGCTAGGTGGTGGCGTTCCTGATGTCTCTTCTCGTAGTCCATCCTCAGTTCCAGCAGCAACCTTGTCACGAGAGGGAGAGAGAGACGGAAGCAATTCAGGAAGAATCTAACAGAAACCTAAATATAAAGAATTCTGTATGTGGAACTGACTGAGTGTGTGTGTGTGTGTTCTTACCTATTTGTGGTTGCAGGGGTCAGATCATAGCTCCTGGCCCCGCCTCTTTGCTGGTCGCTGCTAGGTCCACTCTCTCCATCTGTGTGTGTGTGTGTGTGTGTGTGTGTGTATGTATGTGTGTGTGTGTGTGTGTATGTGTGTGTGTTTCAGCCAGTTACGAGGGAGGGGAGGGGGAAGAAGCAGAAAGCTGCCAAGTTCTCCCTGGCGTGAAGCTGAGTGCAGGCTGGATAAACACTTAACCTGCACCTCGTGTTCAACTCAAAACTTGAGAAACTGCACGAGGAAACTCGCAGAAAGTTTGTGTTTTGTGTTGTTAGTAGTGACTCACGGCAAGCAGAAAGCAGAAGATTGGGAGATACAATCAGCAGACTGAAAGCCACAATCAGCAAACAAAGAAGCCACAAGCGGGAGACTAGAAGCCAAAAGTAAAAGGCTGGATGCCACAAGAATAAAACTGGAAGCCACAAACAGCACACTGGAAGCAGGGGATTGTGTCAGTCTGCATTACTTTGCACTATTCTCAGCATCTGTCAAATGCGTATTGGCTGCATGACCTTATTCACGCCTCTGCTTGAAGATGTCAGTCGAGGCTGGTGATGGTGTACAGGGCGTGAAGGGCGCGGTGCTGGAAGACGAGGCTAAACACGCACACACACACACGCACACACACACACACACACACACACACACACACACACACACACACACACACACACACACACACACACACACACACACACACACACACACACACACACACCACCGCAACACTGAACGAGAGGGTGGTTCTTGATGATGCGTATGAGGAAGATATGATGTTGATATATGTCATGATATTGAAATATTGTGTTATATTGACATATTATGTAGAAGTGATGTTGATGAATTGATATGTTGAGAGAGCATTCATGACTACAGGCAGTATCAACCTCTATGTGACGACACACACACACAGCAGCCTTGATACCTACCTCTCAGGGCAAGTGTTGGTTATCACATCTGCACCACTGGTCCCTATCAGCGGTCCCTGGTAACAGCTATCACCTTCCTCTCGTACCTTGGGACACACACTCCACCCTCACCTCTGTGTGTATGTGTGTGTTTTTGTTTTCCGTTTGTCAAAGGCACTTACTGGTAGACACTTGGCTTGTGTGTGTGTACTTATCTAGTTGTACTCACCTAGTTGTGGTTGTAGGGGTCGATTCACAGCTCCTGGCCCCGCCTCTTCACTGGTCGCTACTAGGTCACTCTTCCTGCTCCATGAGCTTTATCATACCTCTTCTTTAAGCTATGTATGGATCCTGCATCCACTATATCACTTCGCAGACTATTCCACTTCCTGACAACTCTGTGACTGAAGAAATACTTCCTAACATCCCTGTGACTCATCTGAGTCAACTTCCAATTGTGACCCCTTGATGCTGTGTCCCATCTCTGGAACATCCTGTCTCTGTCCACCTTGTCAGTTCCTCTCAGCATTTTATATGTCGTTATCATATCCCCTCTATCTCTCCTATCCTCCAGTGTCATCAGGTCGATTTCCCTTAACCTCTCCTCGTAGGACATGCTAACCTTTTCTAATTTCTCTAATTTCCGTACGTGCTTGGCTAGGTGCGGGTTCCAGATTGGTGCTGCATACTCCACTATGGGCCTGACATACACGGTGTACAGGGCCCTGAACGATTCCTTATTGAAATGTCGGAATGCTATTCTTTGGCTTGCTAGGCGCCCATATGCTGCAGCAGTTATTTGGTTTGTGTGTGTGTGTGTGTGTGTGTGTGTGTGTGTGTGTGTGTGTGTGTGGTGTGTTTGTGTTAACCTATTTATAATTACGGAAAAATCTTCATTACATATTATAATCCAGTATTCTTTAGTAATTCCCGATGATTGTCACAAACTGGTTTCTTTCCTGTCTTGATTACATCAGTCTTCCGCTCTGGGGGAAATGTTTTACAACATCCGTTCTGCATTTTTCTTTTTGCACAAAGTTGCCTTCCCTTATTCTTCTTACTGGTGCTAAGATATTCTCGTCTACATTCTTATTTGTGTATATTGCCATATCTTACAAGGGAAAGTTGTGATGCTTGTAAAGATCTCTTGATTCAAGAATCTGAGGCTCCTTTTACCTTTCTTGGATCAAGCCTGCTTACTCCCCCACTCCTCTCAATCTCCATGCACCGTGTGACGTTTACAGGTCAGTGAATAACGGCAAGGTTGGGATGGGCCGGAAGTAGGGCCACTGTAGGCCGGAAATAGCGTCACGGTGGGCAGGGAGGAGCCTCACGGTGGGCAGGGAGAAACATCACAGTGGGCAGGGAGTAGCCTCACGGTGGGCAGGGAGCAACGTCACGATGGGCAGGGAGAAACGTCACGATGGGCAGGGAGAAGCGTCACGGTGGACAGGGTAAATAGTTGTGAAGTTTGCAGAGCACTTGGATGGTGTAGATCATTCAGCACACTTGGCAATAAAAAAAATTATAGCACGGCGAACGCCGATGTTAATAATACAGCAAAAGCACCAGGAACATGAATAAAGCATAAAAATAAATATTAGCATAACACGTTAACATAACCAGCATCTGTTAAAAAAGTTAAATTGTTAATGTCTGGAGATAATTGAAAGTTCCCCAAGATCCCTACAGGCACCCTAGTAATAAACACCGCGACGTGAAAAGGTCTAAGTAAACTCCTAATATGTGTTCCACAGTCAACTGCATGCCACAAACTATAGAGGTGAGCAGGAATACATGCCAACAGGTAGCTACGGGTGAAATGTGTATGCCCTAACCTCAGTTGATCTGGAAACCACACTCCAGTCTGTAACGTCTTAAGGCCGCATACAGGCAGAACATGTTCCTCTGATTCACCCCCAGGTACGACGGAAGAGCACCTTAAAAAAAAATATCAGGCGCCCTCAAGAGCATCCACTTTGAGCTTCTTTCTGTTTGAGATCCGCTTCAGGCCCCAATCAAAGATCATTCCCAAATATGTCACCTGCTGCTCATGGGAGAACATGCTTTCTAACACGGGTAAAATGGACAGCCACCGTCTTCCGAGTGTAAAACCTGTAGCCATTAGAGGCGAACTACTCCCTGGTGTTGTCCACTCCCACCTGAAGCCTGTGACAGGACGCTCCAGTAGGCGCTGTGCAGTTCACTCCAAAGTCATCCACATGCATAGAAGCCTCGACTCCATCAAGGACGATAAAACATGTGATGATCAGCATGCTGCCCTGCGGGGACCTCCTCCTCCTCCTCCTCCTCCTCCTCCAGGGAGAACTAGCATGAGTATCAAGAACCCTGACCTTGAACAGTCTGCTGGTCAGAAACTGCTGGGGAAACAGCAACAGTCAGCCTCGCTGTCTCAGAGTGTGGAGACGGCGAAGAATGCCACGGTGGGCAGGGAGGGGCAACATAGAGGGCAAGGAGGAGCGTCACATTGGGCAGGGAAGAGCGTCATGGTGGGCCAGAAGGAGCGTCACGGTGGGCAGGGACAAGTGTCACGGTGGGCCGGGAGAAGCGTCACGGTGTGCCGGGAGAGGCGTCATTTTGGGCAGAAGGGTGTCACATTGGGTAAAAGGGGCGTCACAGTGGGCAAAAGGGGCGTCATATTGAGCAAGAGGGATGTCACGATGGACAGGAAGGGAGTTACAGTAACCACAGTGGATAGGGAGGAGCGTCATGATGGACAGAGGGGCGTTACGGTGGACGGAAAGTAGCGTCACATTGGACGGGGAGTACCGTCGCGGTAGACGGGAAGTAGCTTCAAGGTGGACGAAAAGTAGCATCACATTGGACGGGGAGTAGCGTCACTGTAGACAGCGGGTAGAATCAGTGTAGACGGGTAGGTGCTGCATACCTCCTTCCTCAAGTGACAGCTGTTCCTGATTCACAACTCCACAAATAATCATAAACTAGACCACGTTTCGCAACATGTTAAGGTTCCAGGACCAACTGAAACCTTTCTAGTTTTCCTTTCCGGTCTCCATGTGAATTTCTGCAGCCACGGTATTGTGACTTGCATTCAAAAGATTCTAGGTTCCTCGGTGTACGTAGGCGCCAATCACCCCCATTTTATAATGGAGTTCAACATTTCCAGTGTTTTCTTGGTTTTCCGTGTATTCCTTCGTGCAAGGGGCGGAGCCAAGCAATACTTACCGTGTGTCGCAACAGCTCACACCATTTAACTTCTATCATAGAATTCCTAAGACACTTTTTTTCCAACATTGTTATCTTACACTGGCGTTCTTGTATTGTTATATAATGGCGTCGTCTCCGTGCTGTTAGTTAATGGGGTGCTTTGTGGATAAGGGAAAAAATTAAGTTATGTTTGGGAATCAACAGGTGTAAGAGCCTGGCCCACCTGCCTGTCTGCCTGCCTGCCCGGCCCGAGTCCTGTGTTGTAGCAGGCTCGGTCACTCAGTTGCCCGCCACCCGTCGTAGGGAACGTGCGCAGTCGTTCCTCTCGCGGCTCACACCGCGACGTTGGTTCGACTTTGTTGCCTTCTTCAGCCTATTCTGTCGCCAGAGGAGAGAATAGTATCGGAAAAAAGGGCATTTTATATATTTAGTGTTACGATACTTTTAAGAGTTTAAAGAATACGTAATCGTACTATAAGAAATTGGTAAGCGTGTGCAAGAGATACCTGGGCAGTTTTTATCGTGTTCACATGACGTTGGTTCATGAACATATAAACTATTGTCCAGGTAACTTCTTCATCAGTATAACCGATAAGACGAGGGTTGTGATAAGATAAGAAGATAATAGAAGCAAGTTAGTAAGTGCGGGTTGGGACCGTCAGTGTAGCAGTGAGACTCACCGCCATCACCACCATCACCTCCAACACAAGGTCAAGATCACCACCTGCCTCCACCGCTGACGCCGCTTGTCTCCCTCACTGCTGCCAACAACACCACCCACGCCTCACGCCCACACCTCACGCCCACCTCTTCACTCCACTTTTCGCTTGAGGAAAGCCGAGTGAAAGGAAGAGTGTGAAGTCGAGGTGACCCGGTAACCTGGGTGACCTGACCCACATACTGCGCTGACCCATTCACCCATGGGCTGAGTAGTACACACCACGTTCCCGGCCATTCATAGTGGAGTGCCAGTGATGAATGACCGCCCCTCCATCTGAAGATGGCACTTATACGGCTAGTGTCTACCTATACTCTAAGACGCCCCTACATTTAATAGCCTTCATTTGTATCGTCCATTGACCCACGTCAGGATTATTTTTGTCTTGCAGAGATATCGGACTGCTGTGGCTATCATACTGCAGAGATATCAGAATTGTGGCTAACAGACAACAGTGGCTATCAGACGCGCTGACAGTCAGTCGATTAGTGACACTGCCTAAAAGTTCCACGTATGGCCAAGGTGTTGGCGACGAGTCGTGTCGGTGGAATGTTCGTGTTGGGGTCGGGGGTAGCGACTCTCAACCTCTCAGCCATGGGCGACGAAAGTTGCTCCGAGGTCTCCAGCTCGTCCCCCCTAACTAGCCCGGGGGCGCTGTCTCCCCCTGCTCTCGTCAGCGTGGGCATGAGTCCCCCGACCTCCCTCGCCTCCTCTGACATCGGCGAGGTCGATCTCGACTTCTGGGACCTGGACCTCAACTCGCACAGTCCCCCTCATGGCATGGCAGCTGCGGCCTCCACCACGGCCTCCCTCCTGGTGAATCCAAGAAACCTCGCTGCCCTCTCTGACACCTCTTCCCTCTCAGGTACGTGCTTCCCTTTCTGACACAATCTCCCTCTCAGGTATGTTGCTGCCCTCTCTGACACCTCCATCTCAAGCATGTTGGTGCCCTCCCTGATACCTCCTCCATCTCAGGCATGTTGGTGCCCTCTCTGACACCTCCTCCGTCTCAAGCATGTTGTTGCCCTCTCTGACACCTCCTCCGTCTCAAGCATGTTGGTGCCCTCTCTGACACCTCCTCCGTCTCAAGCATGTTGTTGCCCTCTCTGACACCTCCTCCGTCTCAAGCATGTTGTTGCCCTCTTTGACACCTCCTCCGTCTCAAGCATGTTGTTGCCCTCTCTGACACCTCCTCCGTCTCAAGCATGTTGGTGCCCTCTCTGACACCTCCTCCGTCTCAAGCATGTTGGTGCCCTCTCTGACACCTCCTCCGTCTCAAGCATGTTGTTGCCCTCTCTGACACCTCCTCCGTCTCAAGCATGTTGGTGCCCTCTCTGACACCTCCATCTCAAGCATGTTGCTGCCCTCTCTGACACCTCCGTCTCAAGCATGTTGCTGTCCTCTCTGACACCTCCATCTCAAGCATGTTGCTGCCCTCTCTGACACCTCCATCTCAAGCATGTTGTTGCCCTCTCTGACACCTCCTCCGTCTCAAGCATGTTGTTGCCCTCTCTGACACCTCCTCCGTCTCAAGCATGTTGCTGCCCTCTCTGACACCTCCATCTCAAGCATGTTGCTGCCCTCTCTGACACCTCCTCCATCTCAGGCATGTTGGTGCCCTCCCTGATACCTCCTCCATCTCAGGCATGTTGTTGCCCTCTCTGACACCTCCTCCGTCTCAAGCATGTTGGTGCCCTCTCTGACACCTCCTCCGTCTCAAGCATGTTGGTGCCCTCTCTGACACCTCCTCCGTCTCAAGCATGTTGTTGCCCTCTCTGACACCTCCTCCGTCTCAAGCATGTTGGTGCCCTCTCTGACACCTCCATCTCAAGCATGTTGCTGCCCTCTCTGACACCTCCATCTCAGGCATGTTGGTGCCCTCCCTGATACCTCCTCCATCTCAGGCATGTTGCTGCCCTCTTTGACACCTCCTCCGTCTCAAGCATGTTGGTGCCCTCTCTGACACCTCCTCCGTCTCAAGCATGTTGTTGCCCTCTCTGACACCTCCTCCGTCTCAAGCATGTTGGTGCCCTCTCTGACACCTCCTCCGTCTCAAGCATGTTGGTGCCCTCTCTGACACCTCCTCCGTCTCAGGGTATACACATTTTAAGGTGTATTTCTCTTAATGTATATATTCTAAGAGTTTAATTTAGCCACTAACGAAGGTATTTAAAGTCTTTTTGTCTGGTAGTAAAAAGGTTACAAGGAGCCTTAATGACCCTAGTGTAGTCGATAGGCTTTAAACCCCACAAACGAATCTTCCTGCCCCTGAAGATGCCTTGATGCAGAAGAAGGTCTCTCGATCCAAGGAGCTGGAGTTTCCCCTTTTCTTCCTTGGTTTGAACTAGATAACCTACCGCTGTTTGACCCCTATGGGTTTAGCGCTAATCCATGAATTTATCAGTAATATTGCTGTCACTGTGTTACTGCTGTTACATGACCTGTCACTGTGTCACTGCTTTTACATGACCTGTCAGTGTTCTTACATGACCTGTCAGTGTTCTTACATGGCCTGTCAGTGTCCTTACATGACCTGTCAGTGTTCTTACATGACCTGTCAGTGTTCTTACATGACCTGTCAGTGTCCTTACATGACCTGTCAGTGTTCTTACATGACCTGTCAATGTTCTTACATGACCTGTCAGTGTCCTTACATGACCTGTCAGTGTTCTTACATGACCTGTCAGTGTCCTTACATGACCTGTCAGTGTCCTTACATGACCTGTCAGTGTTCTTACATGACCCGTCAGTGTTCTTATATGACCTGTCAGTGTTCTTACATGACCTGTCAGTGTCCTTACATGACCTGTCAGTGTTCTTACATGACCTGTCAGTGTCCTTGCATGACCTGTCAGTGTTCTTACATGACCTGTCAGTGTCCTTACATGACCTGTCAGTGTCCTTACATGACCTGTCAGTGTTCTTACATGACCCGTCAGTGTTCTTACATGACCTGTCAGTGTTCTTACATGACCTGTCAGTGTCCTTACATGACCTGTCTGTGTCCTTACATGACCTGTCAGTGTCCTTACATGACCTGTCAGTGTTCTTACATGACCTGTCAGTCACTGTGTCACTGTTCTTACATGACCTGTCACTGTTCTTACATGACCTGTTAGTCACTGTCACGGACCATGAATGCTTATGTCATTTGCACGTACGTTCGTCCGTGCCTTCCCCACCAGTGTTACCACCACCCCCGTTACCTCGACGCTGTTACCGCCACCGTCGTTACCTTGATGCTGTTACCACCACCCTCGTTACCTTGACACTGTTACCACCATCCTCGTTATCTTGACACTGTTACCACCACCCTCGTTACCTTGACACTGTTACCACCACCCTCGTTACCTTGACACTGTTACCACCACCCTCGTTACCTTGACACTGTTACCACCACCCTCGTTACCTTGACATTGTTACCACCACCCTCGTTACCTTGACACTGTTATCACCACCCTCGTTACCTTGACACTGTTACCACCACCCTCGTTACCTTGACACTGTTACCACCACCCTCGTTACCTTGACACTGTTACCACCACCCTCGTTACCTTGACACTGTTATCAACACCCTCGTTACCTTGACACTGTTACCACCACCCTCGTTACCTTGACACTGTTACCACCACCCTCGTTACCTTGACACTGTTACCACCACCCTCGTTACCTTGACACTGTTACCACCTGCTTTCACTGTCAGGGACTGCAGCTTTACCTTGACATATTTTCAGCTTTGGGTTTGCGTGATAGTCGGTGGATGTCAACATCCACGCTGGCAACACTCATTAGCCTGCTCCCCTTTTTTCTGGCCACACTAACCTGTTTTTTTCTGGCCACTAACCTTTTTTTGGCCATATTAACAGGGTTTCTTTTTTTCTGGCCACACTGACTAACGTGTTTCTTTGAGCCGTACTAAAAGAGTTTCTTTTTTTTCTGGCCACACTGACCAACGTGTTTTTCTGGTCATACTGATTAACAGGGTTTCTTTTTTTGACCACACTAACAGGACTTCTTTTTTTTCTGGCCACACTTACCACCATTTTCTGGCTACACTAACAGAATTTCTCTTTTTTCTGACCTCACTAACATTTTTTCTGGCTACACTAACATGATTTCTTTTTTTTCTGGCCACACTAACATTTCTTTTTTTCTGGCCAGTAAAACATTTTTTTCTGGCCACACTAACTTGGTTTCTTTATTTTCTGACCATACTGACAAACATCCTTTCTTTTTTCTCCTGACCACAGTGACTGACATGGTTTCTTTTTTCTGGCTACACTGATTAATATAGTTTCTTTTTTTTCTTGGTTACACCGACGTGTAGCAACACTGACATGATTTCTTTTTACTGGCAACACTTACATGGTTTCTTTTTCCTGGCAACACTGACATGGTTTCTTTTTCCTGGCAACCTTGACATGGTTTCTTTTTCCTGGCAACACTGACATGGTTTCTTTTTCCTGGCAGCACTAACATGGTTTCTTTTTCCTGGCAACACTGACATGGTTTCTTTTTCCTGGCAACACTGACATGGGTCTTCTGACAAGGAAGCTCCGTTTTAACTGCAACAACTTTTCTGGCCACACTGATCAACATTTACCAGCGTTTTTGGCCACACTGATCAACATTTACCAGCGTTTCTGGCCACACTGATCAACATTTACCAGCGTTTCTGGCCACACTGATCAACATTTACCAGCGTTTCTGGCCACACTGATCAACATTTACCAGCGTTTCTGGCCACACTGATCAACTTTTACCAGCGTTTCTGGCCACACTGATCAACTTTTACCAGCGTTTCTAGCCACACTGATCAACTTTTACCAGCGTTTCTGGCCACACTGATCGACTTTACCAGCGTTTCTGGCCACACTGATCAACTTTTACCAGCGTTTCTGGCCACACTGATCAACTTTTACCAGCGTTTCTGGCCACACTGATCAACTTTTACCAGCGTTTCTGGCCACACTGATCAGCATTTACCAACGTTTCTGGCCATACTGATCAACATTTACCAGCGTTTCTGGTCGCACTGGCCAACACAATTGATCTGCAGTGAGTTCTCATTCACAGAAGACAACTGCTCTCAAGGAAGGTACGTTGATGCCGCTGAGGGGCTCTTGATCTGGGGAGGTGGACTGTTCCTCCTTGGATCGAACTTTAATCCCACCTATTATCCAGGCGCTACGTGCCCCCCATGGGGGGTGCAGAAGTGTAGCGCTGACCGCTGATTGAGATGGTAAGGGGAAGACAACTATTCGGGTGTATTTGCCTGGCGGACGGAGGATCGAGCCTGCTTCATTCCTGGAGCTGAATGACCCGTACAGATTTAGCGCTTCACGTAAGGGAAAACTGTCTCTTGAGAAATCGTTGATAAGGATGGAGTCTTTATCAGACGTGTTACGTCTCAATAACAAAATTGAACACCTGTGTAGTCCCTGGTGTTCCAGCCTGGTGTGTATGTGTGTGTGTGTAAATTGTGCGAGTGGTAGGTATGTGAGTCAGTTTCCTGATTCATCTGGTGGTGGGTGGGTGGTGGTTCTGTTGGTTATTGTTATTCGGATGGTTGAGGTGTTGGTAGTTATAGTGTTGGTGGTGCCTTTATGAGGGGTAGGTAGCAGAGAGGGCTGGTACCTCTTCTTGAGAGGGGTTGCACGTTCAGTGATTGTGTAACAGCAGCACCGCCAGCCATGTCCATCCTCAGTATTCACTGCCAAGGCTCTGCCCTTCCTGTTACACGCTCCAAGTCTGCTGGAAAGCAGGCCTGGCCTTCAGAAATAGTCATTTTCTTTTCTTCGTTATAACGCGTGGCTGTCTGCCTAGTGTGTGTGTGTGTGTGTGTGTGTGTGTGTGTGTGTGTGT